CAAGTTTTTCACTGGTCACGCAAAACCTTCAGGTCACGGATCAGGAAGAATAATTTCCTAAATTCACGGAGAATAAAATCAGCTAATCATGCATTACGAGAATACCCCTGAAAAGGCGTGGCCATAGGCAGCTCAGACGTTGAATACGATTAATACGTGACATTATGCTGTTGGCCATTGCGTTACAATTTTAGCCGTTTATAAGACAGTGCATGACGTGGCTTACCTTATGTTTGTATTGCGTTTTTTTAGTGTCTCTATGTTCCTCGAGGCGGATTAGAACCATTTAGATATGATTGGTCCAATACTGTCACGTGAACCGTGTCCAACACTGCCTGAGCTTACCCTTAATAAAATGTCATGTTGTCTTTTGAAAATTACTCGATAGTTCAGAAAACTAAGCGCATAAAAATTGGCCGCAGAATTTGTAAAGGATGTTCATACTAATGTTCTGACGGAGGAGACAAAATAAATTTCTGAGTAATATTTAATTTTTTTAGCGACTTCAGTAACATGGACAGCACCCCCTCCTCAGTGGACTCAGTCGGATCCAGCTGACATCAGAACAGTTGGTGAGCCAGTGTTAAATGGAAGTACTCAGGTGCCTCTGAGGTGGAGTTACAATCTGTTAGCTGGTTCACTGATAACAACTACATTTTCTATAAGATTGAATGACGGCAGTTTCGATGATATTGCAACAATATCTGGTGGTGTATTTAACAAACGTGATTACCGAACGCGTTTTGATATCAGTGGAAGTGAACAGGCCACCTTGATAATAAAGAAAGTCACTGAAACAGAAGAAGCAGTTTACCAATGCAAGCTTACAACGGATTCAAACGCGTGGAGTTACAGAATACGAGTCATTGTAACAGGTGAGCATTGCTATGTTTATTGTACTAATCGATGAAGAAGAATTTACTTTTTAGTGCAAGCTTCAAACAGTTTTAAACAATGTCATATGAATATACGCGTCAGCTAAGAATAGACCACATTCGATAAATCAATATTCTGACATGACTCCGAGGCTTTCGGGTCAAAATGCTAATGTTTTAAAGTTTCTTTTGTCTCTCAATTCCCAAAATAGACTGTAAGCTGTGCTCCAAGGTCACACATGGACCGTATAGCGGCTGCCAGAGGTGCCAATGTATGCTTTCGGTTCGACCTTGTTGAGCTGCGTCGTTGCTGTACTTTGCGACGGCGATTAGCCGCGACAATTATATTATATCATTATATAAAACTATACCAAATATAGACGTTTGTCCTGAAAGCCTCGGGGCCATCAAAGAAGCTCGTGAAACAGGGAAATAATGCCCTCTACATCATCTGTTGTGCTGGCACCGGGGTTTTCTGGGGGCAGACCTCTTGCTTCGCCTTCAACTCGTCTTTGCTACTTGCTTTCTATACTGGCTACTAGTGCCACAATGGTCTCCCTTGTAAGTCCCTGGATACCTTAAATTGACCTAAGAAGAAAGTAGTAAGGATAAAGTTAAAATATATATATTATTTCCTGATTTAGTTCACCACTAAATTTCTCTGATTCGTATTCGTCTAAATTGATCATGTGATGCAATAGTGTTTGTTCCGGGAGAGACACCATCAGCCCATAGTGTCCTTACGCGGAAAATACTCGGATAGATAGAACTAGTGGATTTTTGTTTTCTTTTTAAATTTTACATTTGAAGGGGTACGTGGAAAAATGCCCTAAGTGACTCTTGATCTCATGTCAAATTCTCCTTTTTTGTACAAGGAA